GCTCCCTGTGACTGTGGAAGCTTTGCATGCTATGACTATGGAAATTCTGTGACTGCACCATAGGGTGTGGAGTGTGCCTGGGTCTCTGGCTATCACTGTGTCTGACTTCACATGCACAGAGCTCCCTGAGTGCCTTGGGTGGGTCACTGCACAGGCTCTGTGCTCACACTGAGGATGACACAGATTCTTTGTATGGTCCATGCGCCTGTATGGGTGGGGTATATAGTCACCGTGGGCTTGCCCTGGGCATTGATCAGCTTGCAAAGAGAAGGTGAAAAGTTGTGCTCACACAAGCAAAGGTGGGAATACCTTCCCCTTGCTGACAAAAGAAGAGATCTACCATATCCAATGTCAATGTTTCCCTGTACCCTTTCCCCACCATTGAGCACTGACCAGAGCTCTCTGGCCCTACCTGGCACATGCCTCTGGGTATCCACTGAAGGAGCATAGACTCCACAAAGCCACAAGAGGCATATTCAAAGATAAAAGCCACCAGAGAAGAAAACCAATGAGTGTTTTCACAAATGCCTAAAATAAATGCAGAAATACAGGAAACATGAACAAGGAGGACAATATCACTCCCAAAAAGGAACACAACATTTCAATATTAGAATGTAAAGATAAAACATAGAAAGATAGTCATCTTTATGAAAGAATGTGAAGTTAGAAAATCTCCTAGTAAAAGTACAAAAGAAATCCAAAGCAAGCAATAGGAATATTATGGAAAAATGGCAGGATCAAGTTGTTATTATCAGTAGTAACTTTGAATGTAAATGGCCTAAATTCTCCAATGAAGATACAGGCTGGTTGAATGGATTAAAAAACAAGACCCGTCTATCTGCTGCCTGCAAGAAACACATCTCAGCCGGCGCCGCGGCTCACTAGGCTAATCCTCCGCCTAGCGGCGCCGGCACACCGGGTTCTAGTCCCGGTCGGGGCGCCGGATTCTGTCCCGGTTGCCCCTCTTCCAGGCCAGCCCTCTGCTGTGGCCAGGGAGTGCAGTGGAGGATGGCCCAGGTGCTTGGGCCCTGTACCCCATGGGAGACCAGGAAAAGCACCTGGCTCCTGGCTCCTGCCATCGGATCAGCGCGGTGCGCCGGCCGCAGCGCGCCGGCCGCGCCGGCCATTGGAGGGTGAACCAACGGCAAAGGAAGACCTTTCTCTCTGTCTCTCTCTCTCACTGTCCACTCTGCCTGTCAAAAAATTAAAAAAAAAAAAAAAAAAAAAAAAAAAAAAAAAAAACAAAACACATCTCACTAGCAAAGATACACACAGATTGAAAGAGAAAGGATGCAAAAATATATTGCAGGCCGGCACCACGGCTCACTAGGCTAATCCTTCGCCTTGCGGCACCAGCACACTGGGTTCTAGTCCCGGTCGGGGCGCCAGATTCTGTCCCGGTTGCCCCTCTTCCAGGCCAGCTCTCTGCTGTGGCCCGGGAAGGCAGTGGAGGATGGCCCAAGTACTTGGGCCCTGCACCCCATGGGAGACCAGGAGGAGGCACCTGGCTCCTGCCATCAGATCAGCGTGGTGTGCCGGCCGCAGCACGCCGGGTGTGGTGGCCATTGGACGGTGAACCAACAGCAAAAGGAAGACCTTTCTCTCTGTCTCTCTCACTGTCCACTCTGCCTGTCAAAAAAAAAAATATATATATATATATGTATATATATATAGCATGGTAACAGGAAGAAAAACAAGCAGGAATAGCCATCCTAAATTCAGAGAAAACAGACTTCAACACAAATTGTAGAAAGAGACAAAGAAGGGCACTATGTATGATTAAGTGATCAATTCAACAGAAAAGATGTGACCATAATAATTGTATATGCACCCAACACCAGAGTGTCTGGCTATTTAAAACAGGTGTTAATGTATCTAAAAGAGACATAGACTCTAATAAAATAAGAGTAGGGGACTTCAACATACCACTTCTATCAATGGATACATCAATTAAACAAAAAATCAGCAAAACAACTGAGCTAATTTATACTTATGGACCAAATGGATCTAACTGATATCTACAGAACATTTCATCCCACAGCTGCAGAATACACATTCTTTTCATCACTGCATGGAATGGAACCTTCTCTAAGATAGACCATATGCTAGGCCAAAAAACAAGTCTCAAGAAATTTTTAAAAATTGAAATCATACCACGTAGATTTTCTGACTACAATGGAATGAAGCTGGAAAATAACAACTTAAGAAATTATAGAAAATAGGCAAATACATGGAGACTGAACAGCATGCTCTTGAATGAACAGTGCTTTATAGAAGAAATCAAAAGGGTAATCAAAAATTTTCTAGAAATGAGTGAACATAACAAAACATATCAAAATTTATGGAAATACAGCAAAAGCAGTGTTAAAAAGGAAGTTTACAGCAATTAGTTTCTACATAAAGAAATTGGAAAGGCATCAAATAGATGAGCTATCAATGCATCTAAAGGACCTTGAAAAACAACAAACCAATCTCAAAATTAGTAGAAGGAAAGAAATAATGAAAATTAAAGAAGAAATAAACAAATTGAAACTAAATTACAACACAAAACAAAATGTTAGTGAAATGAAGAGCTGGTTTTTTGAAAAAATAAGATAGGTACACCACTGGCCCAGCTAACCAAAAAAAAGGGAGAAGATCCAAATTAATAAAATCAGAGATGAAAAATGAGATGTTAAAACAGATACCATAGAAATAAAAAGAATCATCAGGAATTACTACAAACAGCTCAATGCCAACAAATTGGAAAATCTAGAAGAAATGAATAGGTTTCTGGATATATATAATCTACCAAAATTGAGTCATGAAGACAAAAAAACACCTAAACAGACCAGTAACCAAGATGGAGATTGAATCAGTAATAAAGATGCTCCCAACAAAGAAAAGCCTAGGATTGGGTGGCTTCGATGCTGAATAGCACTAACCTTTAAAGAATAACTAATTCTAATTATTTTCAAACAATTTATAACAATTGAAAGGGAGCAAATCCTCCCAAACTCCTTCTATGAGGCCAGCACTACCATAATTCCAAGATCAGAAAATATAAAGACAACCATAGACCAATATCCCTGATGAACACAGATTCAAAAATCTCCAACAAAATACTATTCACATCCAAAAACACATCAGAAAGATCATTCACCCAGGGCAAGTGAGATTTATCCCTGGTATGTAGGGATGGTTCAACATTAATGCAAATTAATAAATCTGATATATCACATTAACAAACTGAGGAATGAAAACCATGTGATTATCTCAAGATATGCAGAGAAAGCACTTGATAAAACACAACATCATTTTCATGATAAAATCCTTAAGCAGATTGTGTATAGAAGGAACATTCTTCAACAAAATCAAAGCAGTATATGACAACTCTGCCCGGCCAGCATCATAGTCCACGGGGAAACGTTGGAAGCATTTTTACTAAGATCTGGAACAAGACAAGATGCCCACTTTTACCACTGCTATTCAACACATTTCTTGATGTTTTGGCCAGATACATTAGGCAAGAAAGAATATCAAAGGGATACAAATTGGAAAAGAGGAAGTTAAATTATCCCTATTTGTGATGACATCATTGTATATACAGGGAAACCAAAAGACTCCACTAAAAGACTACTGGAACTCAGAAGAGAGTTTAGTAAAGTTGCAGGAGAGAAAATCAATACAAAAAAAATTCAATAGCCTTTTATACACAAACAAGGCCATGGCTGAAAAAGAATATGTAAGATCAGTGTCATACACAATAGTTATAAAAAAGTTTAAATATTGTGGAATAAATTTAACCAAGCATTTTAAAGATCTCCACAATGAAAATGACAAAACACTAAAGAAAGAAATAGAAGATGACACAAAAAATGGAAGAATCTTCCATGTTCATGGATTGAAGAATTAATATCATCAAAATGCCATACGACTCAAAGCAATTTACAGATTAGATGTGATTCCAATAAAAAAAACCAAGGACATTCTTCTCAAATCTGGAAAATACAATGCTAAAATTCATAGGGAAACACACGGGACTCAAAATAGCTAAAACAATTTTAAACAGCAAAAATAAAGCTGGAGGCACCACATTACCAGATTTCAAGACATACTACAAGGAAGTTTAAATCAAAACAGCCTGCTACTGTCACAAAAATAGACCAAGGCAACACAACAGAAACCCCAGAAATTACTCCATGCATCTACAACCAACTAATCTTTGACAAACAAGCAAAAATCAATTCCTGGAGAAACGACAGTCTCTTCAACAAATAGTACTAGGAAAATTGGATCTACGCACGTGTAAGTATGAACCAAGACCCCTATCTTCACCTTGTACAAAAATCAGTTCTCTCCTTATTAGCTGAGTGACTTGGACACATTACTTAAACTCTCCACTTTAAGTTTCCCAGCTACAAAATAATGGAATGCCCATCTACAGAGTACTCATATGGTTACTGATTTTAAATGAGATTATACATATCCTAATAGCCTTACATGTAAAAATTATTATGATTAGTGTAGTTGATCCCCTAATTCCTTCTACCGAGCAACTCTCCTTAATGTGCACTTACTCCCCATGTAGGATCTCTCTCTGTCCTTAATGTGTTGTACTATGTCAATTAACGGTATAACTAGTACTCAAACAGCACTTTATATACTTTGTGTTTCTGTGTGGGTGCAAACTGTTAAAATCTTTACTTAGTATATACTAAATTGATCTTCTGTATATAAAGATAATTGAAAATGAATCTTGATGTGAATGGAATGGAGAGGGAGCGGGAGATGGGATGGTTGCAGGTGGGAGGGAGGTTATGGGGGGAAAAAAACACTGTAATCCAAAAGTTGCACTTTGGAAATTTATATTTATTAAATAAAAGTTTAAAAAATTAAAAAAAAGAAAGATCAAGTTTCAAAAGAGGAAAAAAAAATATTCTTAGATTCACCATGTCTAGACTTCATTCATGCCTGGATTTACAAGAGTAAAAGATCACTCAATATTGTTATTCTCTTACCTCCCCTAAGTATATCTTCTTTTTGTTGGTTGGCATCCAGAATGACAAACTGACAAAAGAAACCAGGACAAATCATGGGCATGTAACACACTTATAAATCATAACTGAGTGATCAATACTCATATTAGAAACACACACATGTCAAGATAAGAGAGTTGGTTTACTACATAAATTTAGCAAAATAAATCATCTGATATTAAAGAGGGAATCTGACATAAAACATCATCTGACAAAACACCATCAACTCATGTGACTGGATATTTCATTGAATAAACTATTTTGTTTTTGAATGGAATTGTTTGATACAGCCCAATACAAAATCAATAAAGACAACGTTAATGGAAAATATTACTTTAATCTGATACAGACAACACTCTGGTGTCTCTGCTTTTGGAATACAGCATGGAATTTTGTTTGCCATGCTGAAAACAAGTATAATAAAATTCGAGCATATTAAGCTCATAGCAGCTCAAATACTAAAGAAGAACAAAATGTTTCTGAATAACTATAGAAAAGGAAAAGCCACGTATGAGAAAATAAATCTCATGGTGCTGATAATTAAGGATTGAAGGCTCAGGTTTGAGTATGATAAGTGTCATCATATACTAAAGTTCTTAATTCTTTTTTTTTTAATTTATTTGACAGATTGAGTTAAACAGTGAAAGAGACAGAGAGAGAGGTCTTCCTTCCATTGGTTCACCCCCCAAATGGCCGCTACAGCCGGTGCGCTGCGCTGATCCAAAGCCAGGAGCCAGGTGCTTCTTCCTGGTCTCCCATGGGGGTGCAGGGCCCAAGCACTTGGGCCATCCTCCACTGCCTTCCTGGGTCAGAGCAGAGAGCTGGACTGAAAGAGGAGCAACCGGGACTAGAACCTGGGGCCCATATGGGATGCCAGCACCACAGGCAGAGGATTAACCAAATGAGCCACGGCGCCAGCCCCTAAAATTCTTAATTCTAAAACTAGCAGTCAACCTTCGAAATTTGAAAAAAGACAATTTAACATGTATTAAATATTCATGGATGTGCTATTCTACTTGACATATTATTCCACGAGGTAATATGGAAAATAAAGCTTGGAAGGAGATTTAAACTAACTGAGGGATGCTGAAGATGTAAAATTGGAATGCATTGGAAATTATGGCACAAGGGCTGCCCTAGCCTGTAACTTAAACTGCTTCTCTGTCATGTTAATGTTTAAAGAGCTCATTTCTTGCCATATGACAGACACTTCCTAGTAAACTATAATGGGAGAGACAGAAGGCAGGTATTCAGGTCTCAAATCAGACTATTTGGCTGTAGAAATGAAGAAAAATACAGATAGACTCTGGGGTAGTTCAAGGCTGTGGCAAAGGCCGCTGGTGGATGTCTTAGGGGGTGAAATACACCTTTTCTTTTTTAGGCAGGTGGAGCTCAGCAGCAGCACATCAAGGAGAAGGCGACTCAGAATCCAAGTCAAGCGGCCCGCTATGATTGGACGGGTGCAGAACAACAACTTGTCCAATGGTCAGGCACTGGATTCTTGTTTCTCGTGACACAAAAAAGAAAAGGTTAAAAATAGGGCAGAACACCAGTCCTCAGCAGACTGTGGCCCTAGGCTAGTGGTTCTCAACGAGGAATGGTTTTCTTCCCCAAGGATGTTTTGTAATGAATGGGAACATTTTTATTGTCACAGTTTTGGAGGGGGTGGGTGTTGGATGTTACAGGCATCTAGGGGGAAGAGGGCACCAAACATCCTGTAACCCAGTTTACAGATCTGTATAACAAATATTTCTCTGGCCCAAAATGTCAGTAAGAAGGATGCTCTAGGCAGATTTCCAAGATGAAACTTGGACAGAAAGTGGTAACACTGAAGTCCCAACTGGATTATAAGGTGAGAGCCAGATGCTGACACAAACTCACCCCAAAAGATATCAGAACCAAAAAAAAAAAAAAAAAAAAAAAAAGGCCGGTGCCACGGCTCAGTAGGCTAATCCTCCACCTGCAGGGCCGGCACACTGGGTTCTTTCTAGTCCTAGTCAGGGCGCTGGATTCTGTCCCAGTTGCCCCTCTTCCAGGCCAGCTCTCTGCTGTGACCCGGGAGTGGAGTGGAGGATGGCTTAAGTCCTTGGGCCCTGCACCCCATGGGAGACCAGGAGAAGCACCTGGCTCCTGCCTTCGGATGGGCGCAGTGCACTAGCCGCAGCACACCAGCCACGGCGGCCATTGGAGGGTGAACCAAAGGCAAAGGAAGACCTTTATCTCTGTCTCTCTCTCTCTCACTGTCTACTCTGTCAAAAAAAAAAAAAAAAAGATATCAGGACCAGCTTTGAAAGAATTATTGGCTGACACTACATCACTACAGAGTACCCTTCAGGCACTGTGGTATAAATGAAGAAAGTAAATGCACAATTACCAGTGCTGTGGCCCAGAACAAATTATGTAATGTGACTTCCTTGTCTGTAAAGTCAACGTAACCCATCACAGGAATTTAGTGAAGGTTACAGAAGGAAATATATCTAAATTTTTGCCGTAGTACTTAGAACATCATAATACTAGGGCAGCAACAAAATTGTTGCTCAACACACACCACAGAAATTATGTAAGTCCTTAGCAAGTCAACAAAATAACCTGAGTCTAAATCTAAATCTAGTAAACATCGTAAATGCTTGTACTCACCCTCATCCCCTCCCAGCAGTCCTGGGTTCTCTCACCCTCTTCTTGAAACTCTGTTGCTGACCGCAATTCACAATAGTACAATAGCTGAGATATGGAATCAACCCAAATGTCCATCAGCTGATGACTGGATAAGGAAATGTTGTATATATACACTACGGAATACTACTCAACTGTAAAAAAAAAAAAATGAAATCCTGTCTTTTGCAACAAGATGATGCAACTGGAAACCACTATGCTTAGTGAAATAATCCAGTCTCAGAAAGACAAATATCACGTTTTCTCTGATATGTGGCAGTTAATATAGCATACAAAAATGTGTATGACTAAAAGGGATGTATATTTTTTTATTTGACAGGTAGAGCTAGACAGTGAGAGAGAGAAACAGAGAAAAAGGTCTTCCTTCCATTGGTTTACCCCCCAAATGGCCACTACGGCCACCCTGCACCAATCCAAAGCCAGGAGCCAGGTGCTTCCTCCTGGTCTCCCATGCGGGTGCAGGACCCAAGGACTTGGGCCATCCTCCACTGCCTTCCTGGGCCACAGCAGAGAGCTGGACTGGAAGAGGAGCAACTGGGACTAGAACCGGCGCCCATATGGGATGCCGGTGCTGCAGGCAGAGGATTAACCAAATGAGCCATGGCGCCTGCCCCAAAAAAAGGATATTTTGTGATATCATTAGTTTTAGCCCTTGTTTATACTCTTATTGAACTGTGGTCTTCCTACTTTTACTTCTTGAATATCATGGTTAGTGGTGAATTGAGCCTGTGAATTGAGTGGTTTAAAATTATGCCTTTGTAAAAAATAATGAAAAGAAAAGAAGGGAGGGAAGCAGGAGGATTGAGGGAAGGAGAGCGGGAGGAAAGGAAGTATGGTTATCTTCTTAGAACTGTACCTATGAAATACATGGAATCTGTTCTCTTTATATTAGTAAGAAAATTTTTAAAAAAGGAAACTTCTGCTGGCTTTCATAATCCTGGACATCCATGGTTTTCTTTCTTGTTCTCTGTCCCCAAATTTAATTTTAGGTTCCTCTATATGTACAGGGCAACTTCAAAAGTTGGTACAAAATGGAATTAATAGAAAAGTGTATCTGGGTTCAAGGAGTGTTTGAAATGAATTTTCCTCACACACAGTCTCCATGACCTTTTTGAAGACCCCTTATTATGCTGTGCTTAATGTTGCGACTTCGACCTTTCTCTTCTCCCTACTCTTCAGGACAATCTCATATCATTCTCATTGCTTCATTTATCTCTGATGTCTCCAGTCCAGGTATTTCTTGTTTGTTGCAGAAGCACTTCAAGTTCAGTGTTTTCAAACCAAATGCATAAACTATAAAGAAATTTCAAACTCAGTAATGCTCATCACAAGCCCCAGTTCTGCCTCCATCCTCACTGCCGCCCGGTGGCCCTCACCTGTGTCAAAGCAGACAGATCTTGCTTTCCCTCTAGAGAGTCAGGATTTCCTGGTTCTTCAGACCATCCCAGGGACCACTGCTGAGCTTGCATGGACCACTTTCTTCCCTTCTCCCCTGCCCTCCACAGTTTCCTGAATTATTTCCACAGGTCTTTGTTGAGACATTAATTCCAGGAGATACAGTCTCCTGTGTGTACACCACCTTCGCCATCAAGATTACTAAGCATTACCAGATTTAAATTTTTTCTCCTAAGGTCCCTAAACACAGCTATATCATAAATCTGCTGATGATGAACAAGTATTGACCTACATATGGTCTATACATACACAGAGGGATGTCTGAACGTTTATACTACTAGGAGAATATGTATCCTTGTATAAAGGAAAAGTTAGAATGAAAAGGATAATATGTTATAAAAATTGATCTCATTGAAATAGAAAGTAGAACATTGTTAAGAGTCTTGGAAGAGGGAAAAGAAGGGAAGATAGTTAACAAGTACAGGTACATTTGGAAAAAATGAAGAACTTCTAATGTTCTATAACTCAGTAGGGTAGCTATGGCTGGCACCCATTAACTGCATATTTCAAAAGACCTAATATAATTTTGAATGTCTCCAAAAGCAAGAAATCAGGTTTGAGGTGATAGATATCTCAATTACTGTGATCAAATCATTATACATTGTATACATGCATTAAAATATATATACATGTGTACATGCATCCTATAAAATGCACAATTACCATGTGCTGATTGAAAATAAAAAATTTTATGTATACATTACCCTATATGCATAAGCATAAATATTTTTAAAGGGATAATATATGCATAAAAGAACTCTACATTTAAAGTAGCAGTTTGATTGCCATTTCATTAACTTTTATCTGAGAAGAAAGCAAACAATTAGAAACTTTATCTCAGTCTTGGAGAAAAGAAAGTTTTAAAAAAGCAGTCATAAGTTATCTGTACAGTATCTTGTTCGACATTCACTGCCTCACTTTGGACATTTAACCTTGACATAGTTTTTCTATTAAACAAAACCGAACCACTATATGATTTAAGATATCTTCTCTTTCTATATTTAAGGAGAAGTCTAGGAGTTAGATGAAGTGAAAATGAGACCAGTTGTGAAATACGGTGCTCCGTGGTTCAAAAAAATGTGCCACTAAAGCTGCGAAGATTAAAATCGTTTCCCACTGTGGCTGTTCATATGCCATATGTTGAGGCGTTCCTATATGGGAACACCTAGTTCTAAAAGGAGTACAGATCGTATTACAACCCTCTTACAATTTTCATTTAGCAAACAAACAAATGCAAAGTTATCTGATGCTTGAATTAAAGGTCAGTGACACAGTGAAGGCTCAGGAGTGAAGCACAAAGAAGTCACAGTGAGTCGACCATCACTGGCCTCGGAGGCTGCCTGGCTGTACCTACCCGTGGCTCGGGCGCTCTTTCTACACAGTTGGTAGCAATCAGATACATATTTAATGTGCTTGCATTATATCCTATAAATGCTGGCAACAGAATAATCTCCCCAGGGCATTCCGTGAATAATAGAAAAGAGAAAATGATGAGCACATTTAGCCCAGGCACCCACAACCTCATGATAAAAGGCAGCGTTTCCCCCATACAGCACCTGTTGTCATAGCTGTTTTAATGACTTTTCATTGTAGTCAGCAGCCTGAAATATTTATCACGGAGCCTATAATTTTCCAAATCCCAAACTTACATCTACTCAAGCGACTGTAGGAACCAAAATTCTACTAGCCCCTCCTTACTTCTGCGCTTTATTTGCAGCCTCAAAAGTGCTAAACAAAAGATCTTTTGGGAAGCTTCATTGGGATAAATGGATCCGCGCATTAAGAGATTACAGAACGTTCACACAGCATTCCAAAGGCAGTGTACCGCCTTGAACTTGGACAGAAATAGTGGGAGAAATAATGTCATTATTAAATGTTAAAGTATTCACTGTGCTAAAATAAAGGATGCAAGTAAATTTCAATTTGAAGGTTTTTAATACAGAGCAGGCAGCTAAGAACAATTTCAATCAATATTTCTAGGACATATACTCCCAATTAGCTAAATGAAAAATTAGGTTTGATTTTTGCAAATTCTCCGGTGAATTATTGAGTATAAATCCCACACTGTGGCCACATTCTTCACCTTTTAAAAATATCTTAGAGTTATTTGTTTATTTACAAATTTATTTATTTTGCAGAGTAATTTGAGTGTGTTCTTTTAATAGTGAAACATGCTCTAGGGTAAAATTTTGCTATTTAAATGAATGTTCAAATTTCTTGATTCCTATGTATTTAATACAAACATTTTCACATATTACTATATTCTCCTATTACAATGCTATGCAAATAAACTCATTTCACCACCCTAATAATCCTAGGCAGTGGCAACTATCATTTTCTTCATTTCATAACTGAAGAAATTGAGGTGTAGAGATTAAGTTGCTCATGTTCAAAAGGAGATTTAGTGGAAGATCTCGTACTAAAAATCAGGAAATTTCGTTCCAAAATCTGTGTTCTTAGCTTCTATACACAAATAGCCTACTTAAAAAGTCCTTATTTACAGGAAATCAATTCCATATAAACTGTATTAATTCAGTATGTGAGTGGAAGAGCAATTCAAACTATTAAATTAGTCCAATCCAGAGTAAAAATATATTTTTATTGCATATTCAGTCAATACTTATATCTACATATGGACATTCCCAAAAACAGCCAACACAAAAGTTTCACAAATTAAGACCACCCTTACTACTTTGTCTACAATTGAGTATATTCTATTTTATCACATTTCATTTTTCAAATGCTTTTATGACCAAGTAATTCCCTTTCACAAGGTTCTAAAACAGTGATTCTCATACCTAGCTAGTCAATAAAATAGTGCAGGGAGGTTGCAAAACTAAGGACTGTTTGAGCCCTACTCCAAATAATTATATTAAAATCTCTCTCTCTCTTTCTTTCACGCCCAACCTGGGAGTGTCACCTTTGGCACACCAAACAGAGCTCTCAGGCCACACCCATCTCAAGCCCTAAGGCTCCATCAAAAACAGATAGTCCACTTAATATAGAGTCATAGTATAACAAGAAAAAGCACCACAGTGAAGAAACCAAATATCTCCAATATGCCAAATAACAAACGCAAAAACCGAGGTAATAAAAACAAGGAAGTCACCATGACGCCCTCAAATGAAAAAGACACCCCAATTCAAGATTATGAAGATGATGACATAGAAGAAATGCAAGAAGCAGATCTCAAAAAATTGATAAGGACATTAAGAAGTTCTCAAAAACAAATTCTTGAACTACACAAATCCTTAATGGACAAGATAGAAAATCTCTCTCGTGAAAATGAAATATTAAGGAGGAATCAAAATGAAATGAAACAACTAGTACAACAGGAAACTGTGATAGTGACTGAAGTGAAGAATTCAATAGATCAAATGAAAAACACAATAGAGAGCCTTACAAACAGAATGGGTGAAGCAGAAGAGAGAATATCGGACTTAGAAGACAGAGAACAGGAAAGGATACAGTCAGACCAAAGAAAAGAAGAGGAAATTAGAAATCTGAAACATATTGTCGGGAATCTTCAGGATACTATTAAAAAACCCAACATTCGGGTTCTAGGAGTTCCTGAAGGCATGGAGAGGGAGAAAGGATTAGAAGGCCTTTTTAGTGAGATATTAGCAGAAAATTTCCCAGGTTTGGAGAAGGACAGAGAAATCCTAGTACAGGAAGCCCACAGAACCCCTAATAAACACGACCAAAAGAGATCCTCACCACGACACGTTGTAATTAAACTCTCCACAGTGAAACATAAAGAAAAGATCCTAA